GGAGGGGTGACACCAAAATGACTCACATTCATTTTGGTGTCACCCCCCCTCTGAAAAGTCGGGCGCTCGGTCATGGACCGAATGCCAGACAGTATCAGGAAAGAGGAGGGGACCCGGCGGCATACCTTATCCCGCCGGGTGACTGTCCCCCCCTCTTGGTGATGGACGCCGGCAGGTATCAGCATACTGACACTCGTGATGTCATCGCGCACGTGCGTGGTGACGTCACGCGCATGCGCAGTGACGTCTCGGCGGGGTGACACACGGTTACCGCTCCGGGTGTCACCCAGCCTCGGGACGCCCCTGCCCCTAGCCACAACACAACTGCCCTGGGAACAATATCTGTTGACCGCAGACACTTTCAGCCCAAAACCAAGTGGTCAAAACCAATTGACCACCACTTAAAGGACACCACACCTGGGATGGGTCCCCAACCATTATTCCAATAAACCAGCCATCCAGACCACCTTCAAGGACCCCTAACCGCCAAAAGACTGTTGTGACAAGCCGCAAGGATCCAGTACCAGGAGGACAAAAGCAATGGGGTGGGTGGGAGGCTGTCTGCAACTTCTTCCATTGAAAACCTCCTCCACCTCCGCATGCACGCATCACCCTTATTAAGCCCCACCTTGACAAACCTTCTAATCCGGTAATCATCTTCTCCTTCTACTTTCCTCTGACTAAAACTTTTAACTGTTCTATGCCTAGCTCCCCTTCTCCCCCTGTCATGCTGTTCCTCCACACAATTCTTTTCTCTTTCTTGCGCTCCAGGCCTGTCTCTATTCAGAGCTGTCAGGTTCCTGGTTCACCTCCAGCCTGGCCGGAACCCCAGCTGTCACTCTTTTTTTCCTAATATGCTGGAGGATAATAAAAAGATAAATCACAGGCACTTATACTGGATGTGTTCACATTTTAGTGCTGACCTAAAAGATTGAAAACATTCCAGGAGTGCAGCTTTTAGAACCTTTTCTCGTGTGACATAATCAGAAAATACATTTTAGTAGCTGAAACTTAAGCTTTGGTTGCCTGAGATCAGTTAGGGAGCTTCACCATGTTAATATACAGTATAAGACCTGTTTGGCAGCCATAGCATCTTTAAGACATCACAGTGTGTCACACGACCCGTTATATGGATATGTAATTGGTTCATGGCTGAATTTCTGCAACTTCCGCTCCCTCTGCACCTAGTAAGCCCTTTACATTGCTGGTGGTTTTCAGCTTCCGTTCTGCCTAAAGCTAGCTTGCACGGAAGTTCCCTTTTTCTGTGACTTTGCACTCACAAGAGACAGAGCCCAGCCATGAGCAGAGGAGCGACCAAGGCTGCGGGCCGCACCCAGGAAAATGTCTCCTCTGTCCTTCTTGTGCCACAGGAGAACCAGAAGGTGTTCCAACTGCTGGGGAGAAAGTGCATGGTGAGATGGGTAGATGCTGGGCGTGGGCTGGTTCCTGTGCCATCATTTACGGGCCTACAAAGATGCTGATTAGGAACCAGTATCAGTTATGCAAAGAGATACATACATTCTAAAATAATTGAAAATGCAGGCTAATTGCTGTTCAATGGGGCTGGAAAAAAATCTCTTGGCCACTTGTCGTGAACTTATTTTTGTTTTGGATAGTGTGGGGAAGGGTTAGACATTTGATCAGATTTTTTACTACTGTGAGTGTCTCCACTGGGGAGATTGTACCAAACTACCTCTCACCGTGACAGGGAGTCAGAGGTACAGGAAGCAGTGGAATAACAATAGCCATAGCACAGCCAATGTGGCTGCTATGGGGCCTAGATTTAATCATACTTTTAATTAAGACAATTGCCAGTAGGGGGGGTCACATAAAACGTTTGCTACGGGGCCCCATGATCTTTATTTATACCCCTGACAGGAAGTGATGGGAAATCTCTCCTAATGGGACAAATAGATTCACAAAGACACATTTTATAGCAGAATAGAGAGGAGTTAAGTCGGGTATACATGGGTCTATTTTTTGTCGTTTAACCAGCGGGCTGAACAAAACAAAATAAAACAGATACCTCCATCAACACTTATAAGTGTTGATGGATGAATCACCTGCTGATTGCATTGTATTTTATCAGAATACTTGAACGGAACTAGCAGCTGATTGGCTGCCAGCTCTGTTCAGCCAAGAATTTCCCAACCTACTCCTTTAATCAGCTAATCAAGGGTTGCTGGGGTGAGGGTGCCAACAGCTGTACTCACTGTGCGAATGTCAGCCAGTACCATGTGTACCCTACTTTAGCATCTCAGTCACATTTTATTACAGAGTATGCCTTCTCTCCTGGTGACTCCCATTACCTGTTTTTCTGGTCCTGGTGTCACAAGGGTTTCACTGATAGTAGTCCAAAATCCACCGCACTCTAGATCCGAATCCCACTATGAAGGTGGGTGCTGGTGTGACCTGCGGATGACGCTGTGTATATCACAGTATATGAAGAAGTCAATCGCACTCCAAGGTCCAACGTGCACAATGCCTTTTATTGGGACGCTAAGCCATCATGGTAACACAGTGCAAAAAGCAACATTTCGGAACCAAGAATGGTCCCTTCGTCAAGCAAACACTGTCACTGTGTTTGCCTCATAAAGGGGCCATCCCAGTCCCGAAACGTTGCTTTTTGCACTGTGTCATCATGATTGCTTAGTTTCTCAATATAAGGGTTTCACTGAGACACCCAGTGGAGTCATAGACAGCAATAAAAATCTAATTTAAAAAAACTAGAATGAACAGATGTCTGTGAAGGTTCTCATTCATCCAGGTCATGGTATATCTGTAAAAAAATAAGTAAAAGGCAATTGGATTCGCTGTATTTTTCTTGAAGGCGTTTCACTGGTCATCCAACCAGCTTTCTCGATTCCGAATTGAGAAAGAAAAATACAGCAAGTTCAGTTGCCTTGACTTATTTTTTACAGATATAGAATGAACAGACTGCATCTAAGGCTGGGCACACACCTTACAACCATCGCAATACTTTTTTCTTGCGGTGGTTGTAAGGTCATTAAAAAATGTACGATCTGCCTATCGTGGACAGGCAGATCGTACTTGTGATGATCGCAATCCGCGCCCCCTGAGGGGCGGGCTTCCGATGACTGCAATGCCTAACGGGCAGTGTGCGCTTGCGCACACCGGCCCGTCCGGCTTTTATCTTACGGATATGCTACACACGCGCCGAACATCGTACGATGCTCGGCGGGTTTTCGAATATGTTCCTAAGATTAAAGTCATGCGACCAGGGGCGGACTGACAACACATGGGGCCCCCGGGCAATATAAGATTATGGGGCCCCCTTGTGCTCCGCCCATATTCAAGCCCCACCCACCCACAAGCTCCACCCACATATACATTGTTGTGTTACAGAATGAGTTCAAAATAACAGGTCTATTCACTAAAAGTTGAACTTAATTGCAGGGGAATTGGTAGAAGAATTATAAATCTAGACCAATATAGGGGAGTTGGAAAGTGAGCTATTTTGACCTAGATTCTTCAGTTCTGCCAATTATCCTGGGTACATTTCCAGAGAACTGGTAGAAGAATTGACAGGGGAACTGAATAATCTAGATCTTATATCAGAACCAATGCACAGCAGATCACAAACCAGAACCATTAAGTGGGCACTATTGGGGGGGGCAGCAGGGCCAGCGCAAGGATTTTTGCCCTACATCGGAATGACCAGTCAGCATATCTGCATTAAAGTGACACTAAACTCAGGAGATAAACCTTAAAAGCCAGAGGAAGCAGCACGGGGAGACCGGGAAAAAAAAACCCATTAAATCACTCACCTTGTCACAGACGTGCTGGTCTCCGTCTCTCTCTGCACTGTGAAGAGCACTGTGAAGCTGCTGCACGCTGGGTCCTCACGCCTGAGGCCCCCAGGGCAGCCCCGTTATTGCCTGTCAGGGCAGCCCGTTATTGCCTGTCAGGGCAGCCCATTATTGCCAGTACATCTTTAATCCGCCCGCTTGTCACTGTGTCCCGCGGCTACCGCTATCAGTCTCCCCACTGCGCGGGGGGGCCCTGCCGATCCCAGCAGGCAGCACGCGGGCGAACAAAATGGTAAAGTGTAATGGGAGAGCAGGGGGACACAGGCCCCCTACTGGCCACGGGCCCTCGGGCCATGCCCGACTGCCCGAATGGTCAGTCCGCCCCTGCATGCGACCTTACAGTAGTAGAGGTCGCACGGCTTCCACACACCTTACGATAATCGTACGATCGTGGGATTTCCCGCGATTATGGTACGATTATCGCAAGGTGTGTGGGCACCTTAATCCTAGAGGAGCTCACTCTCTATGGATTGCTATGCCGGCAAATATGCAATAATGAGTAAGATGCATATCTCTGGCAATAATACAGACTCTTAGCAAATATTTTTTTAAATGTATTAAAAAATATTGCTGACATATCCTCTTGAAGAGCCCTTTTTGTTTGAGACCAAGTTGTGGAGTTGCACATGTGATCTGGATCACAACACATTGCACATGCAGTTTTGAGATTGTATTGAGTTTAACTATAGGGGAGGTTGCATATTATGTTGGGGTTATCACTAGGCACTTTATTGTTTTTGTATATTTATGTATAAGTTTTTAGCGCAGTGACTTTGTCTTGAGATTGTAAAGAGTGACATTAGGCTTCACTTGTTTTCGCTGCTGCTTGCATTGAAAGGAAACACCAAAAGCGCGGCTTTTATACACAATTGAAATATTTTTTATATTTTTAATTTACACAATCTCTTCATTGTTAATGTATTTATTCTCAGACACTGGCAACAACTGTGGTACAATTATACCTAGCACGAAGCAATGACCAGTGGGTGAAGCACTGCTGTGGCGTTCTATGTCTTGTGAAGGACAGCCCCAAACGTTCCTACTTCATCCGGATATACAGTATCACGGTACGTTCTGCAGCCCAAAATTCATATTTAAAAGTGAGCATTTTTAGAGAATAAGGAAAACCCCCCCAAAAATAAAACAAACATTACACCTACAGAGAAATAATCTGCTTGTTTTAAATAAATTCAGAAGCTTCAAGGAACTTTTTATCTTCAAATTATAGATTTTTTTCTACATTTCCCCTGTAAAAGTTCCAAATTCCAGTGTCTTTTCTATCTTTCTTCTGTGAATTTGGGCACCATAAATGATGCTCATTTCAATTGTCCTGGGATATGACACCAGGTTGCTCACTGGATAAAACAGAATACTTTGTAGAGAGCCCATAGGAAATTACCTACATCCAGGAGCAACACAACTGAACAATTCTGCTTGACACATTTTGTGTGGACCCTTTCATTAAATTATTATCTACTCAAGGCGGCTAGTGCTTCCTTCCTGTTTCAGTTTCCTTCTCAGTACATTTGTTACCAAAAACCAAAATGTATTTTTACATAACTTGTACTTCCAAGTCATATTGAAACATTTAACCAATGTCCACTACAGGGATCCCAACCTGAAAAAAGCAATTTCAGGGAGGTGCCCTTTTCATTTCAGGGAGGTGCCCAGCATAGGATTGCTATCTGCTGGTTCTTGCATAGGAATGAATAGCTAGATTGTTATTGGCTATCTCAATTTGCAGTATCCAATAGCAAGCTGGCTATTGCACCCGCCCTCTGCTGCTGTCAATCACTAGAAGAGGACCTGATGGAGAACTTTAGGTCCCCCCCTGCTGATTGGCAGCAGCAGTGGGCGGGTGCAATAGCTAGTCTGCAATAGGCTATTGCAAAGTGAAATAGCCAATACGCAATATAGCTTTGCATTCCTATGCTGTTTTTTTTTTTTTGTCTCTGACTGACGGCGGTCGGCGGCTCCGATGTCAGAAAGAAAAACACAAAACAGATCGCAGGGAAGGGTTTACTCTGCTAGATAAAGCAGCGTAAACCTTTTCAGGAGAAAATGTTTCTCTCCCGGGTGGCCGGGAGCCGCTATCTAATAGCGGGAGACTCCCGGAGCGTCCGGGAGAGTTGGGATGTCTGCCACTATGTAGATCAAGTGCTTATAATGCAGTGCAATGAGCTGAAAATATAAACAGTGAAGTTGTATGACATAATTAAAGCGTTATATTATTTCACATAGGCTTCTTACCTTGGATAGCACTCCTTCTCATGGGTCAGATCAGGAAAGTTCAGACATGACATGTAGATACATGCTTGGGAAATTTCGTGACTCAATGAGCATGACATTCGGCTGAGAAGGGGAGGAAATGGACAGGCTAGGGGGAACATGTGGCAACTAGAAGGCCAGATATTTGTAGCAAGAGTATTGGTTAGCTAGAGTGTACTGGTCAATTCCAGACAGTTCCCACATACTGTATGCACATGTAATTATTATCAGGAAATGTAGGACTAGTTAGGAGGGATAGAATAACTGTTATGGTGACACCCCTGGCAGGTGGTACGGGCTTACCCGAGGCGTGGAGTATAAGCACTAACTGGTTTTCACCAGAGCTTCTGATGGTGGAGAAGGGTTTCCTTGCTTGATGGTGCCAGGTCACGCCTCCCAGGATTGCCCCACCAAGGTATAAGCAGGACAGGAGGACTCCAATGAGGAGACAGTAATTTGGAGAGTGATCAGGAAAAGGTAGAGATTCCCTTCAGGGCACTCTGGATTTTCTCATCCAGATTCTATGTCTATCATTGGTCCGACTGGCCTATATTCTGTGAGGGCCATTAGAAGTAATGGCAGGGCCCCTGTGAATACCATTAAAGGTACTGGTAGGTCTTCTGGAAGTCTTATTTGCAAGAACTTGCGCTAATGGAGAATAAAATATTAAATGGATAAATATAAACCCAGAACCAAAAAATATATATACACAAACAATTCTTATGATTTTAAAAGGTTATTCTAGAAGAGTACGGGAAGCTGCTGGACTAAGGCACTCGGCCACTATAGTACAGGATGTGTTTAAATGGTACAGCGCTAGCTGTCCTTCGTTGATGGATATATGAGAAATCAAAACGTTAAGATCAAAGGTTTGGAGCATACAATTGAAAAAGTATATAAACTGTAAAGGATGTATCTCAAAAAAATCAATGACATCTATATAAATACAGTGTGAAAAAACCCGTGTGTAAAGGATATTAGTCCAATGTGAAATATCAAACAAAACTGTTCAGTTATTTGTAAAAAATTTACAAAATATGTATATGAAAAATATAAAATATTATTAAACCTGTGGTAAAATTACGAAAATATGTGTCATGTGTGAATAAATAATTATAAAAGGTTTCCCAACAATAAATACAACACTCAATGTGCAACTAATTTGTAATTAATAAACATATATATATATATGTGTGTATGTGAGTAGTCCAAAATGACTAAGTCTTTTAAAGTCTTTAAAACTCCATAAATATAAAGCCAACTTCCACAGTGAAAATCCAGTGCGTTTTCCAATTAAGTGATGTGTCCAATAAAAATCCAGAAAGGAACGAGGAAAAAAACGAGGAAAAAAATCCCCTCAAGGGAATGCACTCACCGGATCAAATGATGTTAAACAACCGTTTGTTTCATCAAGGTAAGCCGGAGCTGTGTCTTTGCTTCTCCTGCTCAGTGGAACTCCAGAGAGGGAAGGGATCTAAATAAACCTGGAATTTATTACGCTATGAGCGTACGTTTTATTTTTCTTGCTTGATTGGATATCCTACCGGGGGGACTTCTAAAAGTGAAGATCCTTCGTTTAACATCCCGGAGAAACGGGAGTCCCTTCCCTCTCTTCACTATATGGTAGTGGTTAACTATCTTGAGATACGAGGCCTCAAGTAAATACAGTCCCGGACATCACCAAAGGGCCACACATAATTTTTAATGACTGCAATGCTAAAGAAAGCTGCCATAGACTTCATGCCTACAAAAGGAGATGATCAATGACTATGGTCATGTTACAGGAGATGGTCAGAGACTGTAGACATGCTAGAGGAGATGGTCGGGGACTGCGAACATGCTATAGAGGTTCACAAATATTATTGAGCCCCCAAAGAGCAAGACACCATACCCCTAATATACCAATTCTACAACAAAATACGGGGCTTTTAAGGCATCGATCAAAGAATGAAAAAGACAAGTTTACATAGTATCAATATAGTTATTATAGGACCATAGATCCACCCCAGCTGCAAACATCACATGCTGGTACTTTGCAGGCAGTGTGTTGAGATACGGCGTGCAGGTGGAATATAAATTATAATGATTGAAGAGACTGAATATATTGTTATAAAGATATGGAAGCGTAAATATTTTATCGAGCCAGTTCAAAACATAAGTAATGGAGGAGGTCCAGTGAGGTGTTATGCCAAGGAATAAGTACGACTATAGCATACAGGAAGTTGTTTTTTTTTGCATTTTTTAAAATTAATAAATATATTGATACTATGTAAACTTGTCTTTTTCATCCCTGAGTTTGATGCCTTAAAAGCTGTTGGAGGCTGGGGATATACTTTAGGAGATATTAATAGGCTGGAGTTACATAACATGAGACTGCTAGAAATCACTGGCATTAATGCTCCTTTACAAACAATGCTTCTACATTGTTCCTCCCTACAGCCCTTTAGTACATAAAAGTACTAAAGTAAAAGTACACCCCTGACAGTATATAAAAAATGAAAGAAATAAACAAAAAAATGTAACAATTTGAAGCAATAATAAAGAATATTTTATCTTTAGCACCTTGGTATGGAAAACACAAACTATTGCATTTTGGGACTCCAAGGGCCCCACAAAAACTGCCGAAGCGCTGCAGGTTGGGTACCAGGGATGTATAGGCAGTCCTGTATCTGAGCAGCTGTTACAGTGTTGGATGTTTCTAGACTGTGATTACAGCTTCACCAGGTTAACATTTTGTATTGCAGGAAGAGAAGCTGATTTGGGAACAGGAAGTATACCAGCAGCTCGCCTACAACAATCCTAGACCATATTTCCACACTTTTCCAGCAGATGTGAGTTTTAAAAGATTCCCTGTAATGACTGATGCGACGTCTTAGCTAAGTATGACCTGTGTCAAGTATGCCACCATATGGAGGAGAGGGATACACACATTTGTATTATTATTATTTTATGATATGAGATGCACTTGGTATGAAGCAGCCAAATTGAGACCCTCAATTAGTCCACATTCACCCCACCCCCTTTGACACCTCATTCAATCTGCTTTGTAAAACTGCCTCAACACCCTGGAGCCTTGGCTGTAGAAACCAAACTAAAGTCCTTAGATGCCATAGTGGTTGGTCATGTGACCACTGCTTGATCATGTTATGCAGAAGGGAGGGATAAGTCAATAAACTCTAACCCTTCCCTTCCGTAGAGGTCTCATAACCAAATAACTAGGTATTTATTCACGTATAGAGCAGTGCTTTCTGCATTAAAAGTAAACATTTCATGCCTTCAGTTTGCTTTCTTTTACCAGTGTTCCAGAAATAATTGCCAAATGTGAACGATTTAGCTAATATCTGTGACGGTTCTCACTCATACAGGTCATGGTATATCTGTAAAAAATAAATCAAAGCAACTGGACTTGCTGTATTTTTCTTGAAGACGTTTCACTAGTCATCTGACTAGCTTTCTCAAGTCAGAATTGAGAAAGCTAGTCGGATGATTAGCGAAACGTCTTCATGAAAAATACAGCAAGTCCAATTGCCTTGATTTATTTTTTTACAGATATTTAGCTTATAGACGACTCACTACTGCAAAATCAGTGGACAGAAACTCTGCTCCAGTCTGTCCGCGGAGACATTATTACTCCTCGTTGGGTGCCACCATCTCACCTCCTCCACAAGAGAAGGTGTAGCCAGGCTTTTAACTGCACTCCGCAAGCCAAAGACATCACTATGGTGGCAACCCTGGTGCCCTTTAAAATATAAAATAAAAGCAAACCCTGCAAAAACATCATTAATACTGTCCTGTCTGCCGATCTTCAAGAGCTATGGTCTCCAGCAAAATCTTCATATCTGACACACTTCTAGTATTACAATCCTGGTTCTGCGACGTGGGCCGAGTTTCCATTTACTCACCCCGATGTCACTATAGGACACAGTCTCCCTGTAGAGGGGGAGACTGGAGTAGATGCTGTAATGCAGGGGTAGGCAACCTTGGCACTCCAGCTGTACTGAAACTATGAATCCCTTTATGCCTCTAGGAGTCATTCCCGTGATTCTTGCAATGCCTCTGGGGACTTGTAGTTCTACAACAGCTGGAGCGCTGAGGTCGCCTACCCCTGCTGTAATGTGTAGTCAATTCACATTTTGCATTCTATTTGCAGGAATGCCAGGCTGGTCTAAGTTTTGCAAATGAAGAAGAAGCTAGCACATTTCACTCTGTTGTCGAAGAGAAGTTACAGAAGAAGCACCACAGACAAGGTACACAGATATGACAATGAGCTGTAATTGAGGTGTGAGGGCAGACAATTTATAAACCGTTTTAATCTGGGAGAATAAAATGGGCTCACTGTTAAAGTGAAAAATCTACTGTTAGGCCTATTTCTTTTTCATTTACCCTCCTACACTTTTCTAAATCCCTTTATTGTACAGATCTGGCTCTGCCTATTTTTCTCATGTAATGTGTGACAACAGGTATTATGTTTTCATTTACTGTCATTAACTGTTAAAAAAGAACAGAACTCTGGAAGCGATGTCCAAAAAAAAGACAAGCAGAGGGCAAATAACTAGTCACCAGTATTGTCTGTGGTTTCTATAAACTTTCCTTCTTTACTGACCTACTATGCCATGTTCTGCACTATGCCTCTGCATAGAGGTGGCCATCTTGGTAGAGGCAGGGATTTGCTTCCTCATATCAGACCCTCCAGCAAGGACAACAGTGAGCAGCATAGTAATTACATTACCAAATCTCACTCTAAATCTCCTGAGACTTGCAGTAGTGCCTTAGATCTCATACTGCAGATGTACAGCTATGAGGCTACAGGGCAGGAGTGCCAAGGCACACTCACTGCTATTTTTTACATTATTTTCAGACCAAGTTTTTTTAGGGTGCTTCTTAACATTTCTAAATTGTCCTTATAATATGGCTAATCTCTGCTTTTTGAGTTCAGTTCCGTTTCAACGTAAAACCCCAATTTCCTGAATAGCATAAGACCTCATTTGTTAATTTATCAGCACTCTTCTCATTGTGTTTTGAACATTGCTGTTTGAAAAGTTTTCTTTACATGAAATGAGCTGTACAAAGCAACCCTGAAAAGTATATTATTTTGGCCATTCTACTTGCAGACAAACGCCAGAATCTGCCACCACCTCCTCCAGTGTCAGATGGTAAGTTTGTGGCATGTAAGCAATGTAAGCATTGGTTTCTGTCTGTCTAGATGTCAGGCTAGATCCTAACTAATTCCATCTCTGCTACTTTTAGAAAGAAGAAGTACCTTACCCCTACCGCCGCCCCCTGGACCACTCTCCAATGGTATGTTCCAAAAACATATATAATACGCCAGTGTAGTCATCAATGACGGAAATGTTGCGTGATAAAAAAATGTGCTTTTGATCTGCTGAACGAGGCTGATCAAAGCATTGTGCATTTCAAAATCCGCCTCTTTGTTAGGGGCAGATAGGAAAACAAATCAGACTTATGGCCTTTAAGGGCCATCCAGGAAAGGAAAAACTGAGCTTGCAGAAAGTCACCATTTAGATAAAGCAACAGAGTGCTCTGAATTCTGTTACAGTGTAATTATTAAAGGCCAAGTCAACCTAATAGTGATATTTTAGTTACAGGTAGAGCTTGGTAGAATAAATCACCCCCGGCTTCTTATAAGTCCTGAATTCTAAAACCTTAGGATCTCCCTACTATAATGATCAACTCTGACCACCTGGAAGTTTTGGGTCATTTCTCCATCTTTGTGTGTTCCAGCTCCTTCTGTTAAATTCTCTATCATATAAAATAAATAACAAATCCAACAGGGATGGTGGGAGGCCCTCTTAATGCCCACGGTAGGTATGCTGAGTTAGAGACCCAAATGCAAAGATGTCACAAAAGCTAACCATACACTATACAATATGATTGCACAAGCTCCTTCATCCCTACCATTCATCTCTACCATTGTACAAGCTCCTTCATCTCTACCTTTACCTATGTAGTGCAAAAACCCGCCTGACTGTAAACAGGTTGAATGGATAGTTTAGGGGTGTCCTCATATTACATAGTTTTGGTAAGTCTAAAGGAGCTTGTACAGAGATTGTACCATTAGGCTATATATTGTATGGCCAGCTTAGTAGAGTCCCAGAGAAATAAAAGAAACTCTCAGATTCCTTGTTAGTATTTTCCACAACTCTCTTCTTTTATATATGACAATTTTGCTTTCAGTGGAAAAACCCATGGACTGTGTGGCATTCTACTTTATACATGACAATAAAATGCCTTTTATCCCAGGTCCTCCAAGTCCTATGCACCAAATGCCCCCTCCCAGCATGCCTGCCATCAACATCCAAAATCCAGACATCACTTCTGCCAGGTATCGGGCCCTGCCTACTCCCTCTGACAAGTCCAAAAACAAAAAGGGCAAGAAGAAGTTCTCCAAAGCCGATATTGGTGCACCTAGTGGCTTCAAGTAAGTATACGTAAAGGATTACTAATGTTATACGTTTTACACCTGCAGGGTCTGATCATAAGAACATATAAGGCTCAGTGGTCAGGTCTAAATACCTTAAGGCTTATTATGGTCACATTTGTTTTTTGTGAAAAAAACACAACAGGGTTTTAACTTATTTCTATCTTCCCCTCTATTTCTATCCCGCATACCACTATCATAGGAACAGGGAGTGAATATAAGTGTACCTAACAGGTAATAGACAGCAATAAAAATTTGCCAACTGTTCTAACCCACCACCATTCTATCCAAAGCTAAAGAAACATTGGACTGGAATTACACTTTTACAAGAAAAGGACGTTTGCCAAATTTGTGGTGACACTGTGTCTCAACAATAGGACTCCCTTAAGAAAGCATAACTCAATGGGTGTACTTTGCATGTTCAGAATATTGTTATGCCCCATAAAAAATATTTAATGTCACAATTTTCTGTCTTTTCTGTGTCACTGTTTGTTGTTTACAGGCATGTGAGCCATGTTGGCTGGGATCCCAATAACGGTTTTGATGTAAGTATATAGCAATATAGACCTCCATACAAACAAGCAGAGCCCCGAGTAGGATTTCCCCTGAAATGTCCAGACAGGAAGTAAGGGGAAATCTTCCAAATGCTGGCACAGATTGCTAATAAAATGCTAACATAGTTTCTTAATCTTCCTACACTACTCAAAACAAAAAATATTTTTGGGCTTGAGTTGAGTTTAACATCATATTATATACCGTATTTTGCGGTCTATAAGATGCTCCGGACGATAGGACGCATGGCTTCTGTGACAGAAATTCTATGACAGAAATTCTGTCACAGAAGCTGCAGTTAGTGACTGCTGAGACAGGTGGCGCTGTCTCAGTAATCAAACAGAGCAGACGAAGAACGACGTTCTTCGTCTGCTCAATGGGCTCTATGGTGAGCTCCTATGGGGGACCGTGACGGGTCACGGTCCCCCAGAGGAACGGGGGACCCAGAAAACCACGGCGGGGGGCGGACATGACCGCCGATGCCCCCGCTGCACGATTTAATACAAGGGATCTATTTAGATCCCTTGTATTAAACGAACAGCGGCTCCCACTGTACATTCAGCTCTGCTTGTCAGGAGCAGGGCTGAATGTACAAAAATAAACTACTCGCCCGGTGCCCGAAACTGCATGTCCCGGCGTCAGGCGATAGGTATTCTCTCCATAAGACGCAGGCACATTTCCCCCCTCCTTTTGGGGGAAAAAAGTGCGTCTTATGGAGCGAAAAATACGGTAGTTAATTCTTAAAAATGCATTCAAGTACCTGAACTATTAACAAAAATGTAGGCTATTTGTGTAGCATTCGGCTGTAGATCCTCAAATCATCTCTGAATTCATGTTGACACTCTGCTTCCTTCTGGAGGGTGGCTACTTTTGTTCCACATGGTCCCTGTGTGTGTTGTAGTGTGTGTGTTGTAAAATAGCCACCCCTCCAAGCTTGCTCCTGTGATGGACTACAATCCAGGGACGTGCAGTCAGGGGAGGCAGGTGAGGCAGAGCCTCACTTAGTATTATGTAAGAAAAAGCTTTCAGCTTCAAATCTGAAGCTGACAGCTTTTTCTCCATTCAGATCGGCTTCTAGCAGGTTACACAGCAGGGAAATCCTCACCCTGTGTAACCTGTCATGGACAGAGCGCTGCCTGTTAATTACAGGCAGCGCTGCATCCGGCTTTTGACAGGTAGATTCGAGATTTGAAGATCTACAGCTGAGTGATACACAAACAAGATACATTTTTGTTAATAGTTAAGTGACTTGAATGCATTTTTAAAAAGTACCTCCTGAGTTTAATGTCACATTAAGCATACAGTTTCTCTAGCAATCCTTCAAAGAATCACATATACTTCTACTTCCAGGTGAATGCTCTGGACCCAGAACTGCGAAACCTCTTCTCTCAAGCAGGAATCAGTGATGCTCAACTGGAGGATGCAGAAACATCCAAATTGATCTATGACTTTATTGAGTCGCATGGAGGAGTAGAAGCTGTGAAACAGGAGATGAGGATGGGAGGTGAGATTGAAATATTGGTATGGAGGCCAAATGAAATAATGCTAGGGCATAGTTCCCAAGTGTCATCCATTGCAGGGATGGTCCCTATTTGTAATTGAATCCCTGAGACCTTCTCAGGGTCAGGCTGTCCCAGAGTTTGTGTGCCACAGGGCCAGACTGATGCAGAGGCTGGGTCCCAGAATGTGTTATACTTACTTGTTCTGTTCTAAGGAGACTCTGCTGTGCTACTATCTAAATGACAACATAACTTAACACTGGTTATATTAGAAAACGTATCACCCCACTGTTGAAGAATATATGGGTCAGCATATGTCAAGGCAATATAAAACAGAAAAATAAACAGTACATCTCTGCAATACATGTACATTTCCATATGTTTTATTCTTTTACAGACCCTGCAAGTACAGAAAAATACCTGCTGATTTGCATTCAGCTTTTAATTTCCTATTGTGGGCTGACAGCACACAGCATTTTTGTGGATTGCATGGTGTAAGCTCTGCCCAGCGTTTGTTTGCTTAACTATTAAGCCACTCCCACTGTCTTCATATCCAAAACATTAAAGTATTAACTGGCTTGTGTGGTTAATACTTAAAAAGTAAATAAACAGCTTTGGGGTCTTAGTCTTTGCTGAAACCTGCTACCTCCTGCACTTCCTAGGCAAGAAGTGAACTATAAGAGCTGTAAATCTTTCAAGTAACATATGCCTTATCCTTGAAGGTAAAGCATGAACATCCACTGCAGTGACCAATTACACATTAGAAAAGAATGCCAATATTTTTAGGAGAGACTGGCTCAAGAAGCTACTTAACATACCAATTACATATTCACTGCTCTAACAGCTAAAACTCCTTCAGATTTGATCAGATCAGTTATGTAAGTGAAATGCTAGGGATGCCAAATAAAAAAAAACAATAGGCTTTCCTGTTCTCTATTACACTTCCCCAATCTTCTGACATATTAACAGGGTGACACAGGCAGTAAATCTATCAAGGTGTTTGAAATGAGAGGTTTATACATCTTTAGAGACTACTGACAATGTTCTTTCTCTGCAGATACTCTCCCTCCACCTCCACCCTCCCGCAATGCCCCACTGCCACCTCCACCATCGCAAGGAAGGAGTAGAGCTGGTCCCTTGCCTCCCCCACCAACCAGATCCAATGTTCCCCCACCACCTCCTCCATCTCGTATCACTTCTCCTCCTCCTCCTTCTGGCTCACCGAGAGCACCTCCACCACCTAGAGGGAGTCCCGCTCCCGGTCCACCTCCTCCCCCTCCTCCACCACCTCCACCAGTAATGCCACAGCCACAGATCAGTGGTGGTCCTCCACCGCCGCCACCACCTACTGTAGGAAGTCCAGTTACACCACCCTCCACTCCAACTGGTAGAGGGGCTCTTTTGGACCAGATAAGACAGGGGAAGATGCTGAACAAGGTAAGCAGATGACTTTCACTGAGATACATTGCTTGGATTGTTTATCCAGTAACATTAGAAACACATCTACATTGCATTATAACGTACTTCCTGAATCTGCAAATATTTACAGACCTAAAAAACACTTCCCAATATTATCTGACCACTAGACATGAAAATATTACAATTTTACCACATTCAGTACAAAGAACACAACATGACCAGATCACTGGATACAGTGGAGGATTATAGTAAGGGTAGCGTCAGTGGCTGCTTGGGGCCCCAAACTCCAGTGGAGCCCATATAGGCATACTACCCCTCAGTGCTTTATACGCTAAGTGCAAGCCTTTCAATTTGTTTCAGAATGATGTCACCATTAGCAGACTTCATAAGTCTTCCTATAAGATAATTTAACAGCAATACAGAATACACATTCACATTCCTTGTAGCTGGAAGCCTAACTTCAAAATTATCTGCCAACATTGCATGTGTAATTTACAAATGAATTGTGAGACTATTACTGATTAAAGAACTTTCTTTTGTACAAAAGTTGGTCCACAAGTCTAGTAAGCCCACTTTTTTGTTTTTGCATCTTCGCCCAGTGAATATTTCTGAATGTTTGTTTCTGCTAATAGCAAATTACATGTTCTTAATATAATTTATTTTCAGGTCAAATGTATTGTGTTGAAATACTGCATTATATCCACTAGATGGAGCTGAGGAGCATAGGAAAACAGTATTTACTTACTATGCTCCAATTCGTAGCCACATAGCAATACATTTGGCTTGAACAAAAAATACGTTAAGAACATTCATTTTTTCATTCTTTAAAAAAAAAATATTAAGAACATTCATCAATGTTTCCAGGGATAAGGGCCCTAAAAATTGTTTATAAATAGACCCTTTAGCATTGCCCTTTATTTTGGATACAGTGGATTATGAGATATACATGTGTGTGAAATTATACAGGATTTATATAGCGCCATCAATTTGCTCAGCACTTTACAAAATAGTGGAGACAGTACAGTTACAATACAATTTACAATACAATACAGTTTCAGTACAATAGGGTTGGGAGTGTGAAATGGCTTAAAAGACATGGAAGATACATGTTTTTCAGCCAAATCACTAGTAAACTAAACAGAAGTTATATATGGAGCTGTCTCTCATGCCCTCTCTCTCTCCTTTACAATACCAGGTAACAGAACCGACGGAGGTCCCGTCCTCTCCTCTTTCGCAGTCTAGTTCTGAGGGCTTAGTAGGTGCTCTCATGCACGTCATGCAGAAAAGAAGCAAAGTGATCCATTCTTCCGGTAAGGCTTACTTACTTTGTAGTAGATAGGAGAGGTCAGTGAGGACATCCTCCCTTGATAGAGGTCTTTTTTTTTACTCAGTCACTCAGTTGTACAGTACAATTTACTGTGCTTACATATGGGATTCCATACCATCAATCCAGTACAAAAAATCAGATGATATTGTATTGAGCAATAGCTCGATGCGTTACCATTATATTTTACACAATGCTCTTCATGGTAGTTGGGAACAATTTACAAAATATTTTACATACAATCAACACTTGACTGTACACTTTATAAGACCATGTACATAGCTGTGAAAGTTACCAGAAAAACCATTAGAATACTTACCAGGAAAAAGTGCAAGTGCGACCTGAATGCCACTTTTGTGTCGAGACATTACAAAGTATGGGGATTGTCCTGCAGAAAGGGCATCCTGCGTTCTGAGACTGCTGCGGCAAGAACCTACATATTCTTGTGGCAGAAATCCCGTGTCCCTGTTCAGATGCAGCTTCTGTGCTTGTTCAATTCAATGACAGGGAGGCAGTAGCCGCATCTGTCAGATGCAGTCCACATGTATTCGTACACGGTACGATTACCTGCGGTTTCGGATAGATGATTGTTCCTAGACGTAGGATAGATGCCATTGACAATCATCTATCCCAAACCGCATGTAACCGTACCATGTATGATTGCATGTGAACTGCCGCTGCCAAACAGAGACACTTCAAATCTTTTGCAGTATGTGACAAGGCTGCATGAAAATATCTTACAGTGTAAAATTAATTGTAATAACACGCTGTAACATGTGCAGTCAAAAAAACCAAAAACCTGTTCTATGTTACTCCACATCCTCCAGAGTCTCAAAATTTTATATTCAATTATCAGGTTTGATTCCTATGGGGAAACAGAAGCCTCTTTGAAAGAAGTGAAAAGGTGTGTCTCCAACCTTTTTTTTTAATAGTGTGAGGAAGAATTACAAGCATCTGCCAGTTTGTCATGCTACATGAGGCCTGCTGGATAGATTCCCCATATATCCTTTCCTTGTGACAATGTTATCACTGGGACAGGAAGTAACAGGAAATCTCCAGCAGGCACACAAGGAGCAATAAAATATTATTTTAGGAGACGTGCTTTGGGCTGATTAAAATCTTGATTGTTTGGAAAATAAATATACAGGAAAAAGGCAACATGTTCGGGTTTTCCAAATAAACATGATTTTTACCAACCTGAAGCATTTAAAGATTTTTCTTTAACAGCCCTCTTCACCTACTGCAACAAATGTACCTTGAAGGGACTTACCAGGTTCCCTCCATAGGTCAAGCATCCACAATGCAAAATGTCCAGCACTACCTTACACTTACAGGTTTTTACTGTTGTCTGTGTCCTCTTTGGAGATTTACCTTCCTTTCCTGGTAACATTGGACAGGAAATAAGGAGAAATCTCTACAACAAGGTTTTAGAGAGCAGTAAAAACCTGACAAAGCTCTTCTACCAAAAGATAAAGCTCTGGCTGGACTATTAAGATGTTAAATTGTCTAATTAGCATTTGACTGCTTTACCTTTCCACACCCATATTTATTTAAAATTTTCTTTGCACTTTCTGTATCCTCAGATGACGATGAGGATGATCCAGGCGAGGACGATGATGATGACGAATGGGACGACTGAGTCTATGACAGGCCATCACTGAACCACCTGCTTTATAACTATGGCACAATGAGTTATATTATAGCTTGAGTTTCCTTCTCTAGTGACTATAAATATATGTTTGTAGATTTTGTACTAAGTAACTTGAAGTAAATCTCAGAGATTCATGGTTTATAATGTTTTCTAATAAATGGAAATAAAAAAAGATTAACTAATAACGGCTCACATAAATAGTTTATGTCAAATTTTCAGTAACATGGTAAAGTTGAACAGAATCCTGAACTCAGTCACATTCATCTTATTCTAAACGCTGCCTACATATTGGAGAATGTCAAAGGGGGTCTGTAACTCACCTTCCCTGGCACTCTCCATTGGCCTGACAACAGACAGTCGCAAGAATCTCATAATTGGTTTTACTGTAAACTTCCGGTTATCTGGCACCCACGGGGATCAATAGGTGTCGGATAAATGTAGTTTCTGGTTGCTCGAGAGTTAATAGTAACTCTTAAGCAACCATCCAGCGCAGCACCCCACTTCCCAACGCAGCGTCATTTACCTGCCGGCTGGCTTCCACAGCCAAAAGGTGAATGTAAGCAGCCAGGAGCAATAGCCAGATTGCTATTGGCTATTTCAAATTGCAATAGGGTGTAGCTGAACGTTCGGCTAATCCTTTGGCTTGCTTCGGCTGCAGAAATCTTTCGGTTCAGCTAAACCGAAGGGCTGCTGTACGCGCTATTCTCCATAGCGCGTACAGCAGCTGAAGGAAGCAGCCTAGCCAAACGCACATGCATCGGCTCAACAAAGCTGAACACACAGCTGGAGCAGGGAGAAACGTCGGCCGAAGTGGACTGAATGCCTGCAGGTTGTTAAAAAACATAATATATAAAAGAACAGCGCAGGGTTCCCCTCCCCAATTCCTACCAAACCCTTTAGGTCTGGTAAGAATGTTGGGGGGACCCCGATGTAAAAAAATTAAATAAAAAGAGTGTTTTTCCCCCAAAAATCATACATTATTCAACCTCAAATACTATGTAACTATGTAATATATTACGTGAATGACACACCTTGAAAAAGTCCTTTAATTGAACAAAAAACAAAAGTCAGTTTCTGACAATTCCTTTATTATAGAAATAAAACACCCAAATCCAAAGGTCATTCACGTTGTCCAGCGATGTAATCCATTGTCAATCACGCTGAACTACGTCCGCTAACTCACCGAAATCAAAAAAGTTCCACTGCCTGCCGACTCATCTGCTACCGCTGAACACCCGCTACAAAATGACACTTCCGGGCTGAATGTAAATGAATGGGCGGTACAAGTTGAGACGTCTAGACCATTTAATTACATGACAGCTCACTGTCCAAAAATGATATGTAAACAAATGGGCGGGACGAGTCCCGTGACGTAATGAGTCGATCCGCCCATTTGTTTACATTCGGGCCGGACCTGTCATTTTGCAGCGGTGTTCGGCGGTAGCCTTTGGGTCGGTCGGCGGCAGGACATTTTTGTTTTCGCCGAGTCGGCGGGCATTACTCACTGTGATTGATGTTGGATTACAGCATTGGACAATTGTTTCTGCTGTTGCCTGCTGTGCCCTGTACAGCGATGCCTCCACATAATCAGGTGATCCAGCGATGCCTCCACATAATCAGGTGATCCAGCGCTGCCTCCACAGAATCAGGTGATCCAGTGTCTCCTCCACACAGTCATCGGCCATGCTGGGCATTCCTGAAATAGAAACAGGCTTCTTCACAGGCCTGTTTAAGCTGCTCAAGAACGAAGTAAGAATCTGGCTCTTCACTTTGAGTAGTGTACTACACAAAGTGAGTAACCATATTCCTATAAATTTGTCCTCCAGCAGCTCCTTAAACTGGCCTGTTCCTACTTTCTACCTGTAAAACTTAAACAGAGGCCTGTTTCTACTTCGCGTTGGCCCAACATGACCAAAGATTCAATGAAGGTGGAATCTAAAGTGATCCAGCTCCGCCTTCACGGAATCCTATCCATGCCTTCGTGATCACAAATCGTGGCAATGCAGAATGACTCCAGTCTGTTGTGGGACTACAAATCCCAGCAATACATTAAACAGCAATGCAGAATATCACCAGCTACAGAGGACTACAAATTAAGGTTGCCACCTTTTCTTCAAGTGAAACCCGAACACTCGAGTGGCAATTTGTTTTGGAGAATATATAGTAGACTGGAGGACTGATGGCCAGGAGAGAGAGCAAAAAGAGAGAGGAGAGACAGAGTGAGGAGAGACAGCCAGGAGAGAGGAAAAGGAAAAACAGCCAGGAAAGAGAGCGAATAGAGAGAGAGAGGAGAGACAGCCAGGAGACAGAGTGAGGAGAGACAGCCAGGAGAGAGGGAAAGGAAAAACAGCCAGGAAAGAGAGCAAATAGAGAGAGAGAGAGAGGAGAGACAGCCAGGGGACAGAGTGAGGAGAGACAGCCAGGAGAGAGGGAAAGGAAAAACAGCTAGGAAAGAGAGCGAATAGAGAGAGAGAGAGAGAGGAGAGACAGCCAGGGGACAGAGTGAGGAGAGACAGCCAGGAGAGAGGGAAAGGAAAAACAGCCAGGAAAGAGAGTGAATAGAGAGAGAGAGAGAGAGAGAGAGGAGAGACAGCCAGGGGACAGAGTGAGGAGAGACAGCCAGGATAGAGAGAAAGGAGAGACAGTCAGGAGAGAGAGCAAGTAGAGACAGCCAGAGACTGTACCAGGCTTCTTCTGTACTCTGTACAGCAGCAGCAGAGGCGGCTTCCTAATTAGGATATGCCACGAGGCCCCAGCGAGCAGCCATCTAACTTGCCTGATTAAAAGAGCTGCCTCTGTCTGTTTCTGTTCAGCCAGCCGGCCCGGATCGCCTCGGCCCCGATCCACGAGCCAGAAGGCACCCTAGGGTGAGAAAGGCTGGTCTGTATCATACTGTGTCTATACCACTAGGCCAGACAAAAATTGTATTCAATATCTCGCTATGCAGGTCATCATAGTATTCATCATGCGGTGGTCACTAGGACAGCGTGCCTACTTATTTTATCTATTATGCAGGGATCTCAAGTCTCCCTGATGATCAGGGAGTCTCCCTCTATTAGATAGCGGCTCCCTGATGTCCGCGAGAGAGGCATTTTCTCCCTGAAAGGTTTACTCTGAGTAAACCTTTCCGGTAAGATATCAGTGGGTAAGGTTTCAGAGTGAGGCTTGCCTCCTGGAGAGGGTCATGTGATCTCTAGAGTAGCCTCAGAACGAGGCTTGGCTCTCAGAAGGAAGAAGCTACTTGCTGCACAGAGAGTGCGGACATAGACTACTATTGAGAGCAGGTACAGGCCCTGCTGCAGGGTTGAGAGAGTGCTGTTAACCCTTTGTGGATAATATAGAATCAATTATATGTCCTGGTTGTCTAGTTATAGAGAACATTTATTTCATTTGCTGCCCATAGCAACTAGTCAACTATTATTATTATCAATATTATTTATTTTATATTCTGACGACGGCCGCTGTAAAAAAAAAATAAGAAAGGGCACCTCCCTGAAATGAGACGTTAACCTCCCTGAAATAAGGTTTTGCAGGTTGGGATGTCTGATTATGCCTTGACGCTGCTTTATGGTCTATGTCAGTGGTTCTCAACCTGTGTAACCTCAGGACGCACATTTGTCCTCGGTCATTAAGTCGTGACCCAAGTCGTACTGCAATAGAACGCACGGCAGTGTGGGTTGCTGTGCTGGAGCTCCATCCATATGTGCATTGCTTGTACAGCTCCCATGTGCACCTGTAGAGTTGCTGGGAGCCAGAATGTGATGTCACTCCAGTCCAGGCACCTCTACAGGACATGCGAAGAAGCAATGCACGTATGGATGGAGCTCCCCCGCGGCCATATCCCCAGCCCACCCCACCTCAAGTAGACACTTGGCTCCGGGCAGCATATTTTGAATGGCTGCTCAGAGTAAGAATGGACAGTGCAGCGCCTGGGGGAGGCTGAGTAGCCTCTCACCTAGAAAAGTGAGAGGCATATGGCGACCCACTGAACAAGGGGTCACGACCCACCAGTTGAGAACCAAGGGTCTGTGTGATCTCTTATCCAGATTCATGCTTCACGATTCATTGATTAAACCCATGCTTTTCTCTGATACCATATATATTGTCTGTTGCTGGAGTCTGGCATATTCTTTTTTCTTTACCCCCGCTTCCTTTTGTCTTTCCTCTGTGTCTTGGGTACTGTTAAGTTATATAGTCTGTATTTTATTGTGCTCATGGTTTGGTGGCAAGATACAACCATATACACAGCACTTCATGGGCCGCTGAGCTCAGCCATGGTGGCAGTATAGAGGGCACACTGCTCATGCGTGGGGATCAGAACAAGGATGGCGCTGGCTCCTTTGATGCTTGCCTGCTAGTCCTGGCAACACCACAGGATGGAACTGCTTTGTTTATTGTCACCTACAAGACCTTCATGACTACATAGGCTATCTTTTTTTCACAAAGGTGAACTAATCCTTGAAGCAGTGACTAAAAAGAAATGAGTCACTAAGAGTTAAAAAAAGGGTAAATTGTTTATTAAAACATATTTTTGTTCATTTATGCATAACACTAATTTATGAATGGAGACTGCTGGTGTAGCCTTCATTCATAACAGATTAAGGAGAGCGACTCAGCTATCACCATGTGAGCCGAGTCATACAGAAGGCACTGAAGGGAAGCGGTTCTCATGGTGTAATCAGTACGAATCAGCTGTTATGCTGAATTGCTGATACAGAGCGGGACCAGCTGTCATACAGACACTGATGCCTACCAGCTCCGGCCTACGTATTACCAGACATTACAGAAAACACTAGTATTCACAGCCCGCTGGATTCTTGAGTCCTATTCAATACAACCACTTACTCACAATTTGTACCCTCTATTTCCTTGGCCGCCATCATATTGTAGCGCAACTCTCGTGCTACTCAATTATAAGGCTTAATAAAAATGGCCGCCGTAGTGGGGACAACAAACCCTCGGCCTCTTGCGACTGACAACAACCTTGATGTCAACGTCAGCATACTTCCCGCCTCTTTTGCAAGCCTACTGAAATGGCGCGCAATTTCAGATGCCCTCCTCTCTGGTGACGTCATGCATTTCGTAGCCTATCGGAGCCCGGCCATGCTGCCCGCGCCGGGGCTCAGAGACCAATCAGAATAAAGACTGCTCCCGGGGGCGCAGAGACTGTCCCGCGCAACATGGCGGAGAATTTAAACGCAGTTCGTGGTGAGTGACCCGGAGTGGGTGTAAGGGGGAAGATGGTCGTTTTGGGGTTACCCTGAGGGAGGAGAAGAGGGGCGTTGACGGCTGTGTTGTGGTAATTGCAGGAAGTGGTGTATTTGGGCATATAGAGAGCTGGGGTGTAGATACATCGGTTTCTCCATCTATCCTCTCCAGGTCCTGATTTCCAGGATCCGTATTATTTCAATCAGCGCTCTGGTCTTGAGTCACCAGGGACGGAAGTGCTGACAGTATAGAGCAGACTTGGCTTGGGATCGTACTAGAATTGTGTCACTCTTCTCCAGGAGTGCTGATAAAGAGACCATGTCACCTCCCCAATCAAGATGACCATTGCAATCAGACAGCTGCTGTTTGTAAAATCTGGACCCTGCTGTTCTGGAATAATAGGGGTCCATTTGCCCCACTTCAGCTGATGTGCGTTAATCTGTACAGGTTGAACGCCAATACACATACAGTAATACCTTGGTTTAAGAGCGTAATTTGTTCCGGAAGCATGCTTGTAATCCAAAGCGCTTGTATATCAAAGCGAATTTCCCCATAGGAAATAATGGAAATTCAGATGATTCGTTCACAACCCAAAAATATTCATATAAAAATGATTACAATACTGTACTGTAATATAATACTGTACAAAATATAAAGAAAAATAAACCAATTACCGGTACCTTCGTGGCTGGTGTGAGGGGGACAAGAGAGAGGGGGATTATTGTGCAGGACGACTTTCACCATCACTAACGGAATCACTGCTACCTCTTGCCTCAATGGAATCTTTTTCATTTTGTGAAACCTTAACAAGGAATCTATTCAATGTGACATTGCATTGTCGTTAAACAGTCTCATCATCGCTCGCACTGCTACAGCCTTATTGGTGGCGCTTTTCTAGAAAATGTTGCTCTTATTGCAAGACATTTGCTTGTATATCAAGGCAACATTTTTCAGAAATGTTTGCTTGTCTTGCAAAACGCTCTCAAACCAAGTTACTTGTAAACCAAGGTATTACTGTAAATCGTTTTTTCTGTTCACGCCATATGGCTGCCTTCTGGTGGGTTGTGTAAAAATGCGGAGACACTGCATTGCACCGCACCTCATGCTCCTGGAATGTTGCTGCAGCTCGGCTTTGGTGTTTAGAAATAAATGACATGTCATTTTGTAAAGTGTCAATAAAGTTAAAGAAAAGGTAAACACTGCCTTGTGTTATAACAACACAGCCTGTACACAACATACACCAGCATGCACCTATTGTCTGGTGTGAATATCCCTGACGATTTTCAGCATGACACTTCCCAAATTGCCTGAAGCTCTGTGTAACATGGAGATTCAGCTGCCCCCTCTTCCCCGGCCATGATGTCAAGGTCCTTGAAGGGTCTCCGATACTTCTGGAAATGTCACGGATGATTATAAATGAGAGTTTATTTCCAGCAGTGGCTTACTGGTCAGCACTGGGGTCCTCGGTTTGTATCCCAGCTAGGGTTGCCACCTTTTCTTCAAGTGAAACCTGAACACTAGTGCCACATGCAACAATTTTTCTTTTTTGGGAGAATATAGTGGAGAGAGGAGAGACAGCCAGGGGAGGGAGTAAGGAGACAGCCTATAGAGGTCTACAAATCACAGCAATACAAAATATGAAGCTACATACACTCTGTCGTTCCGGGGTGGCACCCTGATGTCTCCAGGCTCCCAGGTGGGCTGTGCAGGCTTTCAGGAGTGCTGTGCGGTGTCTCATCAGGGGTTCGGAGGCGGGCAGCGTGACAGAGGAGGAGATGTGCTGGCTGGCCTGTACCTGTTTACAGGTGCCCGTGGCTTACCGGAAAATGAAGCTTCAGGCAGAAGCGGCTGCCTGAGGTCCCGCACTTGCCGCATCTAATATCGGCACTTGGTGTCTTGTGTCCAGGTGTCTGCTGGGTGGAAACCTGGACACAAGACTAAAAAAAACTGACTGTCCAAGTGAGTCCCGGACAGGTGGCAACCCTGATCCAAGCCAGGCTGCTAGCTGCATGGAGTTTGTATATTCTCCCCTTGCCTGGATGGGCTTCCATTATATACTCTGGCATCCTTCCACACTGGGGTCCTGGATGTGTATCCCAGCCAGGCTACAACCTGCATGGAGTTTGCATATTCTCCCTGTGCTTGGATGGGTTTCCATCATATACTCCAGTATCTTTTTTTTTTTTTCTCTTATAAGTTCTTTTGGCAAAGTTTTAACAATAGAGATACAAAATAGTATATAGTAGCAAAAATAGAGAGTAGCTACGAAAGGATACATAGTGAAAAATAATCACAAAAGAGAAGTATTCTTCAATTAAATGACAGAATCCATATATCATAAGAACAGCATAAGGTCACTTACAAGGATATAATCGTCAGGGGTAAAGGTCCAAGAAACTACCATACAAACAGTGCAAAGCACTCTGGGAGGAAAAAAAGAAGTGGAATGGGGAGACTCAACATTAAGAGTCCAAAAAACATTTACACTCTTCTGTAGAGAGGAACTCTTTCCAGTAGAACAAAACGTGTCCACTGAGCCCTTGAGGCCTGGTTCACATTGAGCGTATTGTCGCAGCAGATTCAGCCTGACCAAAAGCCTCACCGAAAATATCCCATTAATGCGTTCATAAGCTCCTGAGCTTGTTGCACTGAGCAAAATGCCTGTCGCCGGAAAAAGTGCATGAGCTTGTTGGCAGATCTCCGCTCGTTTTGGCCCCATATACTCAATAGGAAACACTTGAAAAGGAGTGTTGCAATTAGTTTGGCGTTCGTTTTGTCTATTGACTGTCTTCAATGTATCACAATCTGCTCATAAAAACATGCATAATTAGTATATGCATGTAAAAACGCTTAGGTGTGAATGCAGCCTGAGGGAGCAGGTAAGGTTCTCAATATGTTTAATTTAATTAATTTTACTGAACCATAATCGAGGTGTTGGAGGGCAGGATTGCTTCCAGAGGTCTAGAATGCAGGCTTGTGCCATGTAAACCAAATAGATAATCCCAGAACGCTTAAAACCTTCCAGGGGGTGTGAATTGTGATGAAGCAAAAAAATGAATAATTCATAAGAAGCTCTGTCAGTAAATTTCGGGGTAAATATTGTGGACTGGAGACGAAAACCCTGTAATATACTCTGGTATCCTTCCACTAGGGTCCTAAGTTTTGTATCCCAGCGAGTGTACAAACTGCAAGGAGTTTGCATATTCTCCTTGTGCTTGGATGGGTTTCCATCATATACTCGGGTATCATCCCACCCTCCAAAGACATGCTGGTAAAATAATTGTCTCCTTTCTAAATTGGCCTATGTATATGAGATAAGGACCTTGGACTGTAAGGCTTGAGGGCAGGGACTGATGTGAATGTGCAGTATGCGCTATAAAAAATACCTAGAAAAACGAATTGCATTTTACTTACAGAACTAGTGCCACTTGGTCACAGTGCCCTGTACAAGCCCAGATGTGCAGAATAGACATTTCAGTCAAATCTTTCTGCCTATATGGCGGTTTACATATCGTTTGTAGCAGACTTGCTCCTGTATCTGATTACAAAGGTTTTCTAGTCCGCTACAAATCCCTGGTGTGTTGGGGCTCATGAGCAGCAGCATTTGATATCAAGAATAGCTACTAAGGTCCATGTCACCAGCAATAGGATAACTGGTGTGACAACTCGCCAGTGATGGAATTGCTGCATTGGGCAGAGAAATACTTGTGTTATCATGGTGTTGCTGGATAAATGAGCGAAGCTTTTGGTGAAAAGGGAAGTTTCTCAGTAGTGAGAGCAATGCACCGCTTATCTGGCCATTGAGGGAGCTAATGAAAACAGGTATTCTCTGCCCTTTCTGCCATCCTCGTAGTGAATGGAAAACGGTATTTTGCAAAAAAGGTGTGATGGTCAGTTTGCTTTCAAAACCTGCAATAAAATTATACTTGCACCATTATAATCTCCAGATAGCTATTTTCTCAGTCATCTGCCGGTACGACTTGAAAGATAGACGGGTATGAAAGAGATTAAAAGCCCTACTCATCCCTCACCCCCGTGACTCTTCTGATTTTCAAAAACTTCTATAT